GTGCTTCCCAAAGTCAGGGCATGCCTGCCACTACAGAATGAAGGTCCGTTATCTTTGAGCCACAGCCCGAAGAGAAGGCATCAAAGGCAGAACATGTGTGAATTAGTTTCAATTGGGGACCCTTGAGATATTATGTTCATCGACATTTATGCCAACTGACCATTTTGAGCATTCAAAAAATGCCTTAGCCACAGATGCAGCTTCGGCAGCCAACCTGTTGGTGAACCAAACAAAGGGCCCAAGCTGACCCCGGGCTGCACAGCCATTCACTCATATTTGTAGCATGTGCCTCTAATTTCTGGAACATCGGCTACCTCATGGACTAGAAATTCACACACGTCTACCACCAAGACAGACAGACCGACTCAGAACGAGGTCACACTTGTTCAATGGCAGTCCCTTAGCACCATATCAGCTTGCTGCGATCAATCTGTGGCTGATCGTTTGTTTGGGGGAGTCTCTTCTAGCGCCATGGCACACGCAAAGCAACTTGGCAGCAGTTCATTCAAACACTAATCCCTCTAGCCAAAGCAATGCAACAACTAGCACGTCGCAAGTTCAATGGGGGTTGCACATGTATGAGCAAATTAGTATGTATATTATATATCCACTCTCCGCGCATGCCGACACATACATGTAAGCTTGCAATGGCATGCACAAACATGTGCACATGCAGGATGTGTGCAACTATGCCGTAGACACGAATGCCAGCATCTATTTGCACACTGCCCAATAGAACCATGCAAACATGCATCTGTTTCGTGGGTGCATCTCAACACAAGGGCCCTCTCCCAATCCTTGGTTTGACAACTACCCCAAAACAAACTCGAGATGTTGATCATGGACTCGTTCTGAGGGGGGGCAAGGGGGGTTACTGCAAACCATTTAACCTCCTTTATCCTCCTTTAGCAGCCTTTATCTACCGTTAGCTTCCTTTAACTTCCTTTGGATTCCTTTAGCTTCCGTTAACTTCCTTTAACCTCCTTTAGCTTACTTTACCTTCCCCAAGCTTGCTTCCTTCCTTTATCCTCCTTTAGCCTCCTTTAGCCTCCTTTAGCCTCCTTTAGTCTCCTTTAGCCTCCTTTAGCTTCCTTTGGCTTCCTTTAGCCTCCCTTAGCTTCCTTTAACTTCCTTTAGCCTCCTTTACCTTCCCTAAGCATTGCAGTCACTCCCCTTGCCCCCCCTCAGAACGAGTTCATGAGTTGAGGGGTACTCTCACCATAAAGGTGTTCACCGACATGCGCGTGCAACGGGAGATCCTGCAATTTTTCGCCAAATCCAAGGAGAGTCGCCGGCTGAGGCTCCAACTCTGCACACATAGCGGGGAGGCATGGTGTATGACCTCGGGCGGCTTTCATGTCTAATGCATCTGGGGCATCGCAGCTGGATTGCCTTCCGAGGCCCATTCCCAAAACTTCATGCTGCGCAGAGCTTCAAATGCAAAGCACCAACAGCAACGACCTGAGAGAATGCAGGTGTGGTTGATGCGAAGGAATGTCTGTACTGAGCGACTCCTAACTGGGGCCTAAGTAATTCCCACGTCATGGTCCAAAAGTCAGTGAGGGTCCTGGTGAGTGAAGAAAGGGGGTGCTTCCCTGACCATGCTTGCCGTGGATGGACGAACATCTGCATCACCTACGAAACCCTACAACGATGATCCCCCTGTAAATACCAACCAACGCTGGTGTACCATGGTTTCCAAGTAGTCCAGGATTTCTGGTCCATCCACTCGCGGCATCCATGAAGCGGAACGGGTCCCTGTCGCCAAGTGGCGCTGCAGCCACACGTTGCAGTGGCCTGCACGGTCGCTTGAGCCAGCCTTTGAGATCCGAAAAAGGTGTCACGTGACCGCCTGAAAGGCCCAAGAGTCACCCAAGGGTCTTTTCTGAAGAGTCAGCCGTCTTGTACATCTCTGGTAGGGGTCTTCATACTTGTAGGACTGTTGCTGGTTTTGTCTACAGGGCTTCAAAATCCGGTTTTAAGATGTTTTATGGCAGAGCTTGCCGAGTGTGGGCTGTGAATTGGCTTGTGCTTCAGTCTTGGGGCTGATTTGTGCTAGGTTTTGGGGTAGGCTTAGTCGCTTTGGGGTTTTGCTTGAGGTGAGGTGCAGTGATCTTTGGACTGGGGCAGCGCTCCAAAACCAATCCCACACCTGCCCCAAGTCCGCTCTCGAAGTCAACCTCGATCCAACAGCAGCCCTGATATCAGCCTGTGCCCCGCCAACCAGCCAACCAGCCAGCCCAGCCAGCGAGGCAGCGAGGCAGCGCAGCCAGCCAAACAGCCCGAGGGTCAAAGCGAGAATCCAAAGTGTACGATTCTGGGGGTTGATTCCCCATTCTTTTCAGCTTTCCCAGGGTTGTTGGTGGTTTTCTAGAAAGAAGGATCCGTGGAAAGAATGGGGAAGCTACCTCTAGAACAATTGACACCAGAAGTTGTTGTACCTGCTGGGTTTGCAGTCGGATATTTAAGCGAACTACCACGTTGTGTTCGGGTTCCTCCTTGCTCCAGGCCCGGGACAACTCTGGGTGTCGAAATGGTTCTATGCCTTTTTCGGATCTCAGGCCTCGCCAGCTTGAAACGGCACTCTCAAAACCGCAGTTGCCCTCATGACTTCTGCCTCAGCTGTTCGCCCCCACCAAAAAAGTACAGTAGCCATGTTTGATTCTGCTCCATATTTCGGCCCATCAAGATTGAAGAACATCGAAACGAAGATCCCAGGCATGCTCGCCTGCGCTTGTGAGACCTAGCGATAAAAGAATGCCTTTCGGAACCTCAACTAAAATGGACCAAACACGGTAAGAGAAGAGTTGGTCGGTCTCGTCCATCGATCGAACCCGCCTGATATTCTGGAGAGGCCTGGGATTAGCAAGCATGTTCGTGGGCGCAAAGAAAACAAGTGAGCAGTGGCATGGTTGCATCTACCAAGAATACTATAACCCCCAAGTGGAACTCTCGTGACAGCCAAAGCAGTGAGCCCGCACATCTCGTCCCAACCCCGGATCCTGGCAAGCCAGACTTCTGAAATAGAAGGGCTCACCACAAGCAGAACCAAACACACACCAGCACACATACACAGCGTCACTGAAACCGCACGAATCCGGGCCACTCGCTTGTATACCGGGGATAGGCATGTGACATGCAAGCATCCGAGGGTTCCTTGAAGGATACATCCGCACCTCGGTCTCGCAAGCTCCTTCAAAGCTGGCCTCCCGCAAGGCCACAACCCTTGATTTGCTTAGATCCCATAGATGTCGCTGCTGGGGAGAAAAAAACAAGTTCAGTGCAATCTTTCCGAAGCATTCGCCTTAAGGCACCCGCAACATAACAAGTTAACTTTGCACGGACCTGATGTTTTGACACATTTAATTCTATGTTTACGGGTACGTCTCAAGCTTGGGGACCCCCAACAAACGGGTGTTTTCCCTGTGGGTTCCCTTGAAACCACCCAACAAACGACACACACATATGGTGTATGTGTGCGCGTGATTATGGCCATGGGAAACCCCATCTTCTTTTCTAGTGTTCCACCAGGTGGGCAGCTAATTGCTCTCCAGATCGCCCCACCGCTCTCCTCCCAGCAAACGTGTCAGGCAACTCTACTTCTCCTTGGAATCACCGAGGTGTTTTGGGGGCTTTCTGCCTGAGGCGATGGCAGGACAGGCACGCTGGCAGCTCGTTGCATGCAGCCTGGCCCGTGGTTGGGCGGTTTTGTGGCTGTCTGACATTAGCCATGGCATCCAGCGAAGGCCGCTTTGAAGCCACATGGCCGTGGGTCAAAAGCCACATGGCCGCTTTGGCCGTACCTAAATGGCGCCTGGGTAAATGGAACCATAGACTAAAACCTGCGTATCCCTAAGTCGTTCATTTTGAGCCGCAGCCACATACTGGCAGAAATATTGAAAGTAACCAAAGGCCGCGGGGCCATCCGCCATCCGGCCTGGCTGCATTGAGTCAACCTAGGGCAGTGAATTCATCAGGTGCTTTCCGAGGCCTTCCCCTGGCCCATTGAATCACCACGGGCAAATCGCCCTGGGCCCTTTGCCGGCCCAAGACATGGGCCCAGTTTCACCAAAGAAGCCGTCGAAGATTCTGAAAAAGAAGCATGGAACTTGAAACAACCGCACATTCGCAATGGAAGACTGGTGCGTGGACATCCCCAGTTTGCTCATCTACTTGTTCTTGTGCCTAAGTTATGTTGAATTGTGGTCCGCTTTCTGATCATCGCCCCTACTGAAGGACAGACAGCCAGTCGCCTCTGCCAGAACAAAGACAGGCCGCCTCATTTGCAACTTTCCGTGGGCCTTCCGAGAAAACAACCTGACTTCTTGAAGGCTTGAATGGAAGCTCCAATGTCCAACAGATCTAAGGGGTCAGGACGGCGGATAAATCCTGCACTGCAAAGGCCTCGTTCCCCAAAGGCCTGTCCTGGAAAAAGGCCTACACCTGGGTAAAAGTAGATGGCACAATTCCCTTTGGGTGGCCAAGTAGAGGTGACTAAACCTAGATGGGCAGGAATTGTAAGGAACCCATAGTTTATGATTGTCCCAAAAAGGGAGCCCAAAGGAGATGTGTACCCTTCCTCCAACTAACATGGCAATTGTGGGGAGGTACCTGGAAGATGAATTTCCTTTTGAACCCCCTGTCAGTTGCCATGTTAGTGGGAAGGGGGGTAACCTTTTTTTCGTTTTCCGGACACCGTACGTAACACCCAGAGGCGGCCAGCGAGACGTGGCCTGACGGAGCCTTCGAGGGCACTGGGCAGGGTGGAGGCACCTGCTGAGAGGTCCAGGCGTGAGAGGCTCCTCGGCCCTTTGGAACACCTCGCTCCATTTTCAGTTGCCTTCTGTTCCATGCTACACTGCCCCTGGGGTTCAACCCCCATTAAAACAAAGGTTGATCCAATTTAGATGATGACAATCCTTAGGTAAATAATGGTGGTTGTATGAACCCCCATTGTTTTGATGGTGGTTTGAACCCTGGGGTAACATGGAATTATGGTGGATGAAGAAAAACACTTCATGCAAGTTGAAGATAGTTGAAGGTGTTGGGGTTCCACCGAATAAGCCAAGAGAACCTCAAATGGAACCTCCAAACATCACTTCTGACGAATCGACCACATGTACAGTTGCTGAACAGAAACCAACTATCAACCGTGTGAACATCTTCCAATCATGTGGCATTACTCCCATCCGAGTTGTCCAGATGTTGGGCACACATGCAGAGGAAGTCTTAAACCCGGTGTTTCAAGAAATCGTGGTCGTACTGACATGCCTTGATGAGTTTCTTTCTGGTTTCACTCAAGGCGGGCCAATTCCAATTCGAATACCGGCACAGAGCGCAGATCCCAACCACCCCCCCCCCGTTGCCTGCTTCGCCTCTCGCCACGGATGCTCGCCTGGAGGCCCCCAGAAGCAGTCGTACAATGCGCGATTGCAAGCTGGATGAGGTACAGGTTCTGAGAACAACGGCCCGAATCAAGAAGCCAATTTGAATTGAAAGATGCAATTTGAAAGATGTAATTTAAAGATGCAATTTGAAGGATGCAATTTAGAAAGATGCACGTGCAAGCTGGATGAGGTAAAGGTCCTGAGAACAAATCAACAGGCGGAAACACCCCGATCCAAAGAAGCACAACAGCGGACATATGAGCCCCCGTCAAACTTGAAGTGCCCGAAAGCGGCCACTCAAACAGGGATATGCTTTTCTTGATCGGTGTACATGCTGTGGCACAAGACACTCGAGTTGGAAACACCAGCTGCGAACAGACACGCACTTCTTATCATTAGGGCAGTGTTGACTCGAATCGCTTAGACATTTCGCGGCCCGTATGCTGTCAGCTGCCCTGAACAATAACCCTCCAGGATTGTCAAACAACAGGTCTCGACAGAAGGGGGGCCAGAAACAGCAAACGAAGCACATGAAGGGCGCAGCCACCGCTGATAACAAGACTCCTCTGATTCATCATGGCCCTCCCCTGCGCTGGAGATGGGGATAGACCCGGGCCCGGGTCTGAACTTTTCTGAATCAGGGGGTGACATTGACTTTCGGGGACATTAGGAATGGCCCCGCTCGCCAAGATGAACCATAGGCTACCTGATCCCAAACATGCTTTGCGACGCTCAAACGCGTATTTTGCAAAGTTCGGGTCTCCGCCCAACGAGTTTGTGAGTCCATTTTCCTTTAGACGTATCCGAACTGATTCACGCCCGCATGTTTTCCATACGGTTTTCCTTGGGGTCTCCTGCCTTTTAAGACTACCCCACAAAAAAAAAAAAAAAACCAAAAAAAAAAAAAAACGTCCCAACCAGCTCTGTCTTGGGTTCCCTGGGAGACTGGTCGGTTCGGCCTGGCGGAAGAAACGGCGCCGAAGGCCTGGGATGGAGCCGCCAAAGTCGCGCTTCCAAGGCGAGGACGCGAAAAGGCTTGACCAATTTGTGTGTGTTGTTTTTCTTCTTCTGAAATTTCATCGCGGGGGTATGACTCATGTTCTCTTCCTCTACTCTTTCTCTTGTTTTACCTCTTCCTCTACCTTTGTCAAATGGGTAGCACCCATTTCACTGGCCTGCTAAAAGTGGCTAACTTTTAGTGGGTTAAATGGAAACGACCACTTAGCCAACTAAAAGCCTAAAAAGCTAAGGGGACGGCTGCGGGCAACCAAGCTCAGAGTAATTTGGGCATGAATTTTACTCACGGACATCATTTAGGGGACATCATTTTGGTGGGGATTCCCGTCCACCAATGACTTTTGGGGCGCTCCCCTGTTAAAAGGTGTTGCCATTTTGAGGCACTTGCAAACGGAAGCCATATCTGAACCCGTTTTGAAGCTCCCCGAAGTGGACACGCGCCTGAAAAGGGTCTCCTGGATTTTCTTTAAGGCATCAACAGGCAACCCCTGCACCGGTCGCTGGACGCCGAGCAGCACCCAAAATTCATCCGACATGTTCATGGGCACCTGCTCTAGAGGTCCAGCTGCATCTTTCAGAGTTGGGGAACCCTCCCAATGGAAGAGGTTCATGTCAGGTTTCCAACTTTTCAGTCAAACAGAAGCAGCGGTACATAGCAATCTGAAAAAAACACACGAGTCCAAGGCCACAACCGCGAAACCTGAATCTTCTGCCTGTACACAGGAACTGCTGTTTTAGTTGGCTCGCACCACCAAACGAAGAGAATGGGACAAGGACACGTTTCGGCGGCTAAAGGGAACCCAGCTGGCCCCACTGGATCCTATGGCCAGCTGGCCAGATGCGGTCCGTTCGGCAGGGGTTCCTGAAACATCAGATAGGGTACGTGTCAAAATATGTCAAGATAGCGAGCAAACACAAACAGAAACAGCACATATACCAAACCAACCAAACCAACCAAACACACCGAACAAACAAACAACCAAACAAGCAAGCAAGCAAACAAAAGCAATCACGCACGTGAGCAAGCAAACAAACAAACAAACAAACATGCAAACAAACAAACACAACCAACCAACCAACCAGCCAGCCAGCCAGCCAGCCAGCCAGCCAGCCAACTAACCAAGCAACCAAACACACCAACAAACAAACATTGACACCACCCACACACACACACACACGCCATACGCAAACAAATCGACCCCGCTTTCGCGGTTAAGTTGAAGAGAGATGTGAAAGACAACAGAAAATCGTGGGGTCCTGGTTTGCGACACCTGAGGGTCCTGGTGATGTCGGCTTTGGCTTTCAACGATTCCGTGGCCCGCTGCAAAACACGGACGAGATGGGCTGAGGGCGTTCGTCCCGAGGTCTTTTTTTAAGTCCAAACTCAATATGCGCAGGATCGGGTCCACGATACCTTGCTCCCCCAAAAAAACAACACAAGGGGCCGAGCCAAAAGGGATGCGATCCCCAAGACGCTTCCCAAGACGGTTGCTCAAAACATGGACAAAAGGATGGGTTTCTGCGTTCCACTGAGTGCTTCCATGCAACCATGTAAAACCAATAAATGTTGAATAATCATAGCCACAATCAAAGCCCGCCAAAGTAGTTTACCCAAGCCAAATTACCAAAAAAGCGACCGCACCTTGAGACCGTCCCTTCACTTACCCCGGTCTGCCTGGACTCACGGAAAACGCGAGCCCATCACGTCCGATCGGTTTGCTGAGCCCAGGGCGACCGGAACACTGGCCGCACTGCCCAAGGCACCTCAGAGAAAGCAAGAGGTCAAATCTGCAAAAGTCGCTGCCCAGCCAGAGGTGGTGCGTGGCTGTGATACCAAAGTGGGCCTTCCACCGATTTTAGTTTCTCCCATACGAGGATTCCGTTGGTATCACGGACTGGTCCTACAAACTACAACCCACGAATTAGTGCAGATGGTTGTTGGCGGGATGCTGTTGGCAGCCACAAATAATAAGCTCAAATTGGGAAACCACACGTATCACTGCCAAGGATCAGCAGAAAAGCACTAAGGTCCCTAGCAAACTATGTCTGACTCTCCTTTCCAACAGGAAGATACGCAGCACCAGGATGTACAGAAGCGAGCAATGCCAGACTCGCACTCATCATCTTGGGGCATCTCGGGGTGCTTGGATCAAGGGACCGGGACATGTCTCAAGTTTCAGACGTTCAACTAATCCGTCCACAAAAAGGGTGGAGGCACTCCAAGAAAAGAGACATTCTTTACCATGGAAAAAGAAGCGGATTTTGGGTGGTTCATCTCTGGGAACGAAGGATGAAAGTGGTCGCAAAGTGATTTCCACTTCAGAAAGTGTGCAACCTCCAGACATATGTTGGACTCGCTAAATATTGCAAAAAGACATGTTTTTTTGGTGGATCCCCACAATTGCTTAAAGGTTCTCTTTTTGGTTTCCCTTCAACATCCCAAAAAAGGGAACCCAGAAAAAACGAAAATCTCAACGTGTCTTGTTTTTAAGGGACTCCCCTGAAATGGATTTCGGATTTCCATTGTTTTCCCTTGGGCTGTCCTCACTTTCAGTGGGTTAAAATGAAAACTACCCACTAAACACTAAAAGGCTAAAAAGCTAAGGGGATGGCTGGGAGCCACCAAGTATTACTTGAAAACACAGCACAACCAACCAAAAGGCCCTTCGCAGAGGATTTCCCTTTCGGAGCTGAGCTGTCGGCCTGGGGAACGCCTGCCTCGGCGGAGGAAGTGATTTACCGGCTAAAAACTCTAAGTGCCCGCAGAAAGGTGGGCAAATGACCGTCTGTCAAGATCTTTTCAGAGAGAACTCAGGCCAAAGTCAGAGCAGACAGTGACAGCCTTCCAAGTGTTCCATGTTTTGAAAGGTCGGCTTTGAAGCAAGTAACTTAGTGGCTCAAGTATTTGGCGTGAGTGTCCGGTGCCAGGACAAATCTAACCTGAGTGTGCCTGACCCTTGAGCTGAATGTGCCTGAAACAGGGTTGCGGCTAGAAAGATGGTGTGCATCTCATCCAGATCGATTGATCAATTGGTCCAAGCTGGGGGCTGCTTTGGGTGATCACCAAGCCCATCTGAGAATGGTATCTGGGTCATGCTAACAGTACCCACCATCGGCCAAACAAAGGGCAAATAGTGTGAAGTTGCCTTCGAAAATGCAGACCTTCTGCATGTAAACGAAATGCAGCCAACTGCACAACCCACCCTACAGCCTTCACGTACCAGTCCAACGCACACGCAGATCTTTGGCAACCCACGCCACATTCCACTGGCACTGAGGTGATGCCGTTGCTCTGCCAAGGTGCTCGTATTGTCGCTGCCACAGGCGAGGGTGCCATTTGCACCTGGCTCAATCAACATTTCAGAACATCCATCTCTGTGGTGGTTCACCTGATTCATCTAGATCCAACAGATTCTGACAACCTCATAAAGCCCATTGGCATTAGGTTCCACCAACATCTCGGTTGCTGTTGACCCCCCTGCAAGAAGCTTAACTTTTTGTGGGTTTAGTGGAAAACCCCTTCATTTCCCAAAAAGTTCAAGTCTAAAGGTCCAACCCACTCGCAGTCAAGTAGTATAATCCCGATCAAGCCAGGTACAACTCCATAGGGCTCGCCGAGAGCAAGAGGCTCCAGGCCTGCGGAGCGATCCAGCAAGCGGCATGCGCCTCAGGGCTCGTACGTTTGGGTGGTGCCACGGCACGCGGCCTAAAGGAGCTTGCAATAGGTAGGTGTGTGTGTGTGTGGGTGTGTTCCTGTGTGTGTGTGTGTGTGGGTGTTCGGTGACCCCACATGGGTGGGTCTTTGTTTGAGGGACCCCAAATGGTGGGTTCTCCTTTTGGCTTCGCTTCCCCGAACAAGGGGTACCCTAAAAGACACCCCCAAATAGGTTCCGACCAATGGGCTCCTTTCGAGTGCCACGTATGGCCCTTGGGTGCAAGCTGAGGGCTGTAGCACAACCGCCCGGCTTTTGTGGAAGGGTTTTGGAGATCTCAGCCATAAGGGATGTAACCGTCTCCCTTTAAAGACCATCGGAAAAGGCGCCCTTGTTCAATGCTAAACGACAGCCCCCCCCCCACACCTATTGCTTGGTGATGCGGCCTTGGTGTTTCCAACACAGATTGAGGCAATCAAGCTGACCAGCAAAAACAAAGCCATCTTCAATCAGCGGTCTGGGCAATGCAACAGGCTGGGTTGTTCAAAATAGTGTTCAAAATGTGTGGAGGGGGGAATCCCTAATCTCAATCTGCACCACCTGACACAATCATTACTCCCCAAATGAAGATGGAGCTAAAAGCCGGTGTTTTTTGCTGGGTTCCTTGTTACTCAGCGATTGATTAGTTCATCCCTTACCGAAAGCTAAACTAGTGAGACACCTAAATTCTAAATAAGATCTTAGTAACACGGAACCCTGCAAACAACGCTGTTTTAGAGGTTGACTTGTGGGACATGTAAACTCAAAAAAAAAGAGCGTATAACTCAGTTGCCCAAAGAACCCATAAAAGATTCACCTTTCGGGGCCGCAACTAAGAATGGCTGCCCACATGGGGAGACCCAAAGGCCCAAAGGTCAGGCTTTTGGGGCAACCGAGATCATGGCATGGCCAACCTCAGAGCCGCGCCCGAGGCTCCGCCGGCGGCGCCGGCGCAGACGCTGCAGCTGGCGCGAGTTTTGAGCTCCAAATTCCCCAGGCGCGAGGTGAAGAAACGAGGCTCGGGATCAGAAGACTTCCTAGGTCCCCCAGTAGAGAAGTTAGAATCAGGGTACCCACTTTTGTTTCCCCGTGTTTTTCTTTTTTCCCCCCTTTTTTCTTTCTTCTGTGGTCTATTTTAGTAGGGGAACCCTCCCCCAAAAAAGAAACGGTACAAGGCACCTGGGGGACCTAGCTGCTGAATACCTGTGAAAGAGTTTTCCGAGTCCCTTCTTGGGGGGTTCTTTTGGTTCCTGTTGAGCTGGCTGGCCGTGAAGGGGCAAGCGGAGTGGACTCGGCATCTGGCGACAAAGACTCAGGACTCGCCCTCCTCTCCCCCCCTCACTCCAACACATCAGTGACAAGGTGCAGCAAGGCAGCCGAAGACCCATCAATTCCTGATGGCCTAGCTCATCTTCGAAACCAAGTTACCGCAGACTTCTAACTTTTCCAGACAGTATAGAGGCCGATGTCACTCTCTTCATCACACCTTGCAACGACCCTTACCTGCCACCTCCCATCCATTACACGAGAAAGACCTATGGCAAACCCATGAAACACATCTCAGTTGTCCAAAGGAGCCAGAAATACCAGGTTAACCGTTTGGGTGACGAAACCTGGATCAAACGAGGGGAAACCAACAGGATCATTTCAGGCTTCGTTTTGGGCAAGTGAAAACAACCCTCAACCGCTGGCAGCTGTGCCTGTGAGTGCCCGCGGGGAGCGCTGGATCACCTCGTGAAGCGAGGCTCCCGACCCAGCCTGAGTTGGCTTAAAAACAACTTCACACAATGAACATGTCGTGACAGGCATCATTTCTTGAAACACTTACTTTTGACTTAGTTTCCTCAATTGAACTGAGTGTAATCCATGGCACTTTGGCATGATTTGTGCTGGACTGATGTTGACCTCTGATCCAAAAACAACAGAGGAACCCAACACTTATCAGGGGACCACAAGCTCGGCTCAACAGGGCGGGAAGCTTTGGGAAGGAGTCGACATGTATGGGGCAGAACACCGGGCAGCGCGACCAATGGCCAGTTCATGTTTAGGAGATCAAAGGGGAAACCAACCCTGCCAAACGTTCAATCAAACACCGCGAAACTCACTTTGGGGATCCTTGCTTGGGTTCTTTGTTAGTTTTCAGGCAGATATGTGTTTCATAGAGGTGAGTAAGATAAGGGGCAAACTAATTTGGTCATCAGGTAAATAGTACCACGCGACCCCATTCCGATTTCATTGTCTAGACCCTTTCAGTATACCGCTTTATTCTTGGCCCCGACATTCGATGTACTCCCAATTCAGAGGAGGGGCGCTCGCTTGTGGATGACTAAATTGCACAAGAAGGAAGTGGGTGTCTTTTTTGGGGAGTACCCTGTTTGTTGGTGTTTTAAAGCGAAACAAAAGGAAATCCAGACTTTTAGGGGGGTCCCCTGAACGAAAAACACACCCAAGTGTCTTTGATTTGAATGAGCTTGGACATTTGGAAGAGCTGCGCTTACCCTATTCCTGGCCCCCTTTTCCATGCTCAACATGTCCTTCATCAAACCGGTAAGGGGCCCAATGGGCCTGTCCATGCTCCCATACTCAGAAGGCAAAAGATGGTTCCAAAGCGCAAGGGTATTTCCAAGGACCTGAAAGGGTTTGTTTCTTCTCGCGAAAAGGTCGCTCATTTGATTTTCAGCCCAAGACGGGTGGCCATCAACAGGGCTTTCTAGTTTCTCCTGTAAACACCACCCACTAAAATGAAGCTCATTTGCAGGCCCAAAAGGCGTGTTCAAGTCCAGGAGGCAGCAAAAATACAGGCGTCTCTTTTTCACAGGGTACCTGAAAAAATTGGACGTCCGGTTGCAAACCGAGAAACCAAAGCATCTACCCACTCTGAGGTCACCTAGGTCCTCCAGTAGAGAGGATAGAATAAGGGTACCCTTTTTTTCTGTAGTCTATTTTAGTAGGGGAACCCTCCCCCAAAAAAGAAACGGTAAAAGGGCATTACTGTGGGACCTAGTCACCGAATTTTGAGACGCAGCCATAGCCCTGCAACTGAGCCGCCGCGCCGAGTCCCTCGGCGCGCGGAACAGCGCGCGCCGGCTGATGCCCGGGTTTGGCACCGGCAGGACCCGGTCCTCAACTTGCGCTGGAGGGCGAGGTACAGCTGATGTCAACATAGCCCAACCGGTAGAAAATGTGAATGTAAGATATATATATATATATATATGCATGTATGCACGCATGCATGTAGGTATGTATGTACGTAGGTATGTATGTATGTATGTACGTATGTATGCATGTACGTACGAACGTACGTATGTATGTATGTCGGTAGGTAGGTCGGTCGGTCGGTAGGTAGGTATGCTGTATGTATGTATGATATACATGCGCATACTTTAGTGGTACGTCAATATATATATATATATATATATTCATATATATATATATACATTATGACATATAAATGCGTGTCATCTTCGGAATATGTTGCAAGTGAACCAAATACAACTTGACCACCAAGGTGGGGTCTATTCATCGAGTAAGTATGATTTCACACTGGACTTGAACACCCGAGTTTCCATCTCTCCAGATTGAAAGGACGTTGGACCCTTAAACTAGTTGCCTTCCTTTTCAAACCCCAAAATGGTGTCCTGGCTTGGGTTGCCTGGTCCAAGAACAGTTTCTTGCACTCAAACTCTTGAAAGGGTCACGGACCCTGAACCAACAACAGATATGTGCCACTGTCATGTTGGTTGCAATCCCCGCGCGATTTTTCTGGGTCTAGGTGCAGGCGCGGGCAAGACGGGCGGCGGCTTTGCTTGGCCTCGGGATTCCACTCACTTGTTGGATCAGTTGAGAGAAGCCAGACATTCAACCTAGACGAGAAGCCAACAGCCACCTTACAAGTCATTCGAATCACCGGGATTGATGTCAATGCCTTTGGAACAATTTTAGATGTTTTGTGGCTGCCTGCAGCTGTTCTCGATGTTTGCCAAGTCCTGAATGAATCATCCATGGCAGGGCATTGCTTCTGACCTGAGTCACACGCATTCAGCAACACAATGCAAATGACACTGCGCACCACACAAACATGCCCACCCACATCAACTGCAGGCAACCAAAACTTTTGGCCAACTTCCTTCATCCTCGCATGCCAGAATCTACTTACCCAATTTGAGGCAATATGTACAGCAATTTGGCGCCGCCAATGGCAAGTGGAGGGAAAACACAAATGCACGGCAACAGAGGGCAATAGAGTTACAAACATGTTGCGAAAGAGCGTTGTTCTTTTCTCCACATCAAAGATGATCATTTGCGCCGTATATCAATGGCCGTGGGATCCGTGTCGCCTGTTCTTGCAACCTATGAGAGGAATATGCACCCAGGAGCAAATGACACAGGTACAATGGCCCGCTGTGTGTGAATCCCCCTCAAAGGGGTTTAAGATGGTTTAAGTCCCAAGTACGAAAGTCCAAATCACCGGAGATTGTCTTTGACATGCAAACCAGTTTGGACGAGACGCTCCAAAACATTAAGAGCCGCTTGCTCAAAACCTCAAAAGCCACAACTCCAACCTTCAGATCGTCCCATTGTCATGCGTCCTTTGCGGAGCTCTTTTCTAGAGACCACGCATCCCTCACTGTTTGCCAAAAGACTGCAACCCCAGGAGATTGTTTCCTTTCCTTCTGCTTTGCCTTTCTTTCGAGCATCGACCAAAAAAACGACTCCTATCCCTGGAAGTGATCGATCCCTGGATTGAAAGGGATCCCTGGATTGAGCAGCTTCCCTCAGGTCCCGGCCCCGAAGACTCGCCCCGTTCGCCGCCGGCGCCGCGGGCGCCGTCTGCGGCGCCGCCTTCGCCGAAGTCGGCGACGTCGGCTTCGGCTCGGCGCGGAGCGGCAGGCGCAGCGGCGGGCGGTGCGCCACGGAGCGCGCCACCGGCTCGGCGAAGGATGGGACCGGCTTGGGCCTGAGCGGGGCGGCTGCGGTTTCCCGCCAAAGGAGCAATCTGGATGTAGGTCAAAATCCAACTCGTATTTTTAGTGAAGATCCCAATCCCCACTAAAATTGACTAAAATGGGTGGTGCACCTACCCCAAAATGGTACCATTGGATTTGACCCACAGCATACCCAGTTCTCGACTTTCATGTGGCCTGCAGAGTCTGGCTACATTGATGCCTGAGTCACTATCCCCAGCTTTCGAATCAAATGTCCCTGTTGGGGGCCGGCCCTGCCATTTTTCCTAAACGCCCCAGACTTTCCTGCGGGAATGACTGACCACTAGCTCCAAAGTATACACATGACAGCCCTCGCGGATCAGTCACCATTTCTATTACCACTTTCAAGCGCTGATGTCCCGGATCTGGTCAAACCTTCACCCCCAGTTTCCTCTTGGAGGGCAAATATTGCTCTCCACGTGTGTAGAAATCAGATCTTGGGAGGCTCGCATGCTGGCAGCCAAAACGGGGGGTAGAAGCTAACCCCAAAAACAATCAGTTTGAACGTGAGCACCTCCCCACAATAGTCCTGCCTAAATCCTCCAGAGAGGTTAGAATAAGGGCACCAACTTTTTTCTGTAGTCTATTTTACTAGGGGAACACTCCCAACCAAAAAAGAAACGGTCAATGGGCACCTAGCTGGGGGACCTAGATGCCTTCCTGATCCTTCCAGTGTCCGCACTTGGCTTCCGACTGGCTGCATGGCTTCTCCTCACGAGACGGAACAAGGCCCAAACCTTCCGCAACCCGGTGCGAAACCTCCCTGCTTTTCGGGCACTCATACTGCGGATGGACAAAATCTTGGATTCTTTTAAAGAAACCCTGGAATGATGATGCCTGTGTAAATACCAACAAACAATGGTCTCCCATGGTTTCATATTGGTGCAGGGTTTCGTCCATCCACAGTACTGGGACATTTCGGCCAAACATCTTCGAAACCCGATTTAGGCGGTGTGTCAAACTGGAGGACTACATGCCTTCCGTTTGCCTATCGACCCTATCCACAGTCCCGCCCCCAAACAAACGGCGTCCCGGGACCCGCTCAACTCGTCAGCATCTTTGCGGCCACGCCCGCCATCTTTGCCAAGCCCTTCACAAGCGATGAAATAGATGTGCCAAAGTCTTCTGCGAGCTCCACCGATCTGAAACCGACAGCCGCTTCCAGTCCCCGCTGATCTTTTGTGAAATGAGCTGGAAGAAATGAAGATGTGACTGTGCTGTTTTCTTGCTTTTTGTTTATTTTTTTCCGAGCGTTCAGACTTTGCTTTTTTGCTTGCAGAAGACCCACAGGCCAAAAGGCCGTTAAACGCGGCACTGATCTCTGATCAATCCGCGATGGCACAAAAAGAGACATCTATAATCTCATCGCCAAAATGGACTGATCTCCAATCAATCCGCGATCAGAGAAAAGGAGGGAAGTTGTCCCTTCATGGGCACTGCTCGCAATTTCTTGCAGAGCCACCCGGTGCAAACATCAAAACAAGCCTCACTCACGCTGCTCGCTAGCGTCTGGCTTTGTAGGGCCATCATGGCACCACCGCCTTGTAATGCGCAGAGCATTGGCGGCGTACAAGGCGCAAGGCACCCTGTCCAGAGACGAAGACGCTGACCCAAGCCTGATGGATTCTCCAGGAGGTATGTAAAACGATACCATCTCGTTGTGTTTCTTCTTTGTCTGTTCAGGGCGCGGTCCAAGTGTGCCCATCATAGGCGGGACGCTAAAGAGTTCATAGAGCAAGGGCTTAAAACTTCAGAGCACCATCGAGCGCCACTCTCAGTTGCCCAACGGACCCACAAAAGCTTAACCTTTTGGGGCCACAACGAAAAATGGTTGCCAACATGGGGAAACCACAAGTTGCCCAGGGTCAGTTTTGGGCAACTGAGCACTGGAGGCGCAGCCGGCTGTGGCTGCGGCACGTTGGGCCATGGTTTTTGTGGCTACACCTTCATATGGTCGCTGGAATGAGACTGGATGTGCTGCTTCGCGGGCGTGTCGTACGCAGTCTCACCTCGGAAGCGAGAGGTGGAGGGGCAGTAGGACTAAGGGACGCTCCATTTGTGAGTGCCAAAAAGGAGACGTGAACATAGACGCGTGCGAGTTGAAGATGCATGCACCTTCAAGGACGCAGAAATCAAAGAACCAGAATGAGCCCGTGGCAAATGGGGGTGCCAACAATGACGTTTGAACCCTGTTTTGGGCACGGTGATATCATCTCCCTTTGGACCGCTGGGGTTTCTAAGCCAGGACAGGGCTTGCATGAGGCTTCCTAAGGCTCTCTGCACCCCGCTCAGCCCCCTCTGGGAAAGCGTATGCCGCAACAAACCCGTTCTACTCAATCAGTTCTGCTCAATCAGGGGCAACTTGCTGAGGCATTTGTTCTTTGGATCGTGACCTCTGTGGTCTGTTTGAACGTTTGATGACCCATGGTCAGTGCTCAACCAAAAGCCAGGCGTTCATGCCAGGGAAAGCATGGTTGTTGAAATGACTATTGCTTTAATGCTCTGCGGGATTCCCATTCCTACGACTCCTTTGTCACTTTCGGGACCCTAGAAAGTGAAAGTGGCGCCCAAAACTCAAATTTCCACGGCCACGTGGGAGAACGGAAGTTGGCAAAAACAGGCCGCGCTTCCCTTCATACACAAAAGCAGCTGAGGCACCATGCTCCTCCACATCCAGGTTGTCGTGATCAGGCGTCAGGAACATCACCAGATTGAGCGCCTGCAGAGTTTTGGAGAAGCGCATGTGCCGAATCCAAGAGCTGTGCGGATGGAGTAAATCCTCTTCGATGGATGAAGCCCTATCATTGCTGGGATCAACTGCCTGCCAACTCTTCAGCCCCCTTGTAATCAGGATAAAAGGACCAGATCACCCGGGCGAAGCTTTTAGTGGCGAGAGCCATTGAATCGGCTACATTCGGACAGAAGAGCAACAAAGGGACGATTAGACAAGAGCCCACCTCAGCTGTGACGGCACAAGAGGGAGAGGGGATGAGTGTGTACGTGAGTAAGTGAACCATTGAATTGAGCAAGTGAGAGACTGAGCGTCATAGAGCGTCATGGCGTCTACGAAGGCGCAGTGTGGCAATCCTGTGCAAGCGCTTTGATGTGGCACGCTGTGGCTCACCTGATCCTTGGACATTGCCGGCTGGCCACGAAATCCGGCTTCAAGCCGAACGTGCCGCCTTGACACGAAAATTGACCACATCACCCAACGGTTCTTAAAGTACTGCGCTTGCCACGAAAGCCAGATTCCACGGGCTCAAAATGCGGACCCTTCCGCGAAAAGAGCGCATTCGATTAATCATTTTCGCTTTCTCTGTCCCCGTCCTTCAGCAGAAGCAGGGTGGTCAAAAAAGAGTAGGTGGCGCACAGCAGCGCAGCAGCCAGTTGCTTGCCCAGCTGCTCCCAGGATGCCGTAACCGTGCCTGCCGGTCACGGCATCTGAATTATAATATTTCACCAGCCTGAATTAAGGTGGTTCGGGGGCGCTATTCCCTACATAAACCACCATTTGGGTTGAATTCGGTTGAGGTCGTTATAATCAGACATGGTCAAACTCCTTGTTTTTAAGTGGAACCTTTCCATCGGAATTGGGCAAGCTGCCAATGCCAGAAGAGGGTCCCGTCCAAAAAAGGATAGTGCGGTATTGAGCCTCTTATGCGGGTGCTTCCCAAAATGAGGATACACCGCTACGAACAAATCACAATAGATGTGGTTTGGTATGCGTTGGTAACTTTCCTTTTCTACCCCTGCAATCACTTTCGCGCCTTCCCCGAATTCAAGAAAATCGTTCTCACGCGGAAACCGGCAACATGTCTCCGCAAAGCTGCTTTGCAGGATTTTGCTGAAAGCACAACCCCATCGTACTTGCAGAGCAAACTATCTGCGTGCCACGCTTCTCCCAGCCCCTCCTCCCACCCCCCCGCCAACCAGCACTCCTGGGTTCACACAGGAGCTGGGGGCCGATGGCGCGTCCCCACACTCCTCGGGGTCTGCCAGCACACCCAGCAGCACCGAGCCAATGAAGCCGCCCATGCCTCAGAAAAGAGAAACCACGTTTCAACTACACCAAATATGATACGGGTCAGGGGAACTAACTCTGTTCGTCTCACTGGCTGAGTGGATGGCCCAAAAAAGTCCAAACTTTATATTATTTACCACTAAGATGGTATTCCCAAAAAGTTTAAAGTTCATGAACTCAGGAAGTCAGTTGTGGGGTTACCCAAAACAGTTCCAATCTCCAGGAAAACAACCACCTGCAGCCTTTCATGCTGTTTGGCTACTTGGAGATCGAGAAGCAGTTGCCGACTCAAGTTGCTGTATTGTACTGCTACGGCTTGATACGCCTCTGGTTGATTATCCCCATTTTTAGGGGATCTCTCGGGGAGGGAGGGGGGAATCCATCAATCTGCCAGGTTGTGTAGTCCGGTCACGAGAAAAGCTACTGGGACAAAGTGTTTTTGTTGTGGCGTGCCCTTGAAACAACATTTTGTTGGCTGACTTTATGAGGAACGACGCAGTACAAACTGAACACTCGTCCATTAGAAGGCGCTTTTGAAGCCCAAAAGGGGCACTGCGGAGTGAGATGCCGAGCGCAGCCCACACGTCCAGTGCATTGTCAAAGCCAAACTTCTTCTTCAGCTCGCAGCACGCGTAGCAGATCCTAAAAACGAAGCCGGAATCCTCAAAAGGGCCCTGCTTGTGACCCTCCCCCCAAACAAAAACAAAAGTAGACCCAACTATGAGTGGGGTGTTCAAGCATGGGCCATTTGTAACGGACCAAACAAATCGAAGCCGTCTTAAAAAGGGGACGTGTTTGCAGCAGGCGGGCCCCACCCCGCCCCGCAGGTGGCTCAGGGCACGTCAACATCGGAATCAGCTTTCAGACAGCTTTCACGTTGAACCAACGTCTATCCCTTGGTCCAAACCAGGGACAGTTCGTCAGGTTCCATAGTACTAGAGTGTCCTTTTGCCACTCTTGGGAACAAGTTCTTTTTCGGATAATAAGCCTTCAAACACCATCCTCAAAGGGACCAACAGACCTTCTGGGTTGGATTCTTGATTTTGTGGAGTCGCTTGCCCCGCATCATGTGTTTTCCTTCAGTCTGCGCTACTCTTTTCGACACAAACTCATGCCGTGCCGAGGCTCAGAGCTGCCACGCCAAGGACGAAAGCGCCCCAGGGCTGGATGAAGCCGGCGCAGGGGGTCACTGCGGCCAGGCCGGCGATGGAGCCAATGCACAAACCCAGGCCCGGGCGCCCGTGGTGCACCCAGTCCACAATCAGCCACCTGAGGTCTGACCTTTCGACCCCTCACTTCTTCATTAAAAAAACAACACACACACACCACACACACAAAAAAAAAACAGAAACAGCGCCTGGCGGACAAAGGGAACGTCAGACATATTCTGGGAGTAGACGAGTGAACCAACCTTACCAAAAGCAACCTTGGAAATTCCCAAAACAAAAAACAAACACGCAAAAACCAAATCCTTCTATTGGCGCCAACTCCCCCAAAAAAAAAAACACGCCCGGCTCGCGTGCCGCATGGATTTCGTTCGGCCGCGGCGCAGGAAGAGCGCCACGGCGGCGGCGATCTCCGTGTTCACGGCGGCCACCGCGGCGCCGCCGGCGCCGCCGGCGGCGCCGGCGAGGGCCGAGCCCGCGGTGAAGCCGAACCAAGCGAGCCACAGCCTGAGGGAAGTGTCGAAAGACCCCCCTACCCCGGGCAAGAAGCGGGCTCCAGTTACTGGAACCCCGGCTTAGCAAAAAACGAACAACAGTGTCGATTGTGTGAAAAGACCGTGGTGTGGATTGGTGGTTTGGAGGTTTGGGGGTGGTTAGAGAATTTGAAAGTCAAAATAATGTAGGAAACCAAGCAATAGAGAGCCGCTACCCACGATCTGCTGGTGCTGGAAATGTTGGCGGGACATGCGGGGGATGTTGAAAACGACCTCTTCACCCGGACAACAAGCGGGCGCCAGTTGCTGGAACCCAGTGCTTGGCAAGAAAGCGGACAACCAAAGGCCACCAAAAACAAGCAACACCAGCACAAACGCTAAAAACAAGGCAGGCAGCAGGGCGGTGCCCAGCGGGAGGAAGGGCACCTTGTGGGGCTTGTTGCCGTCCTCCCGCCGGCGGAGAGACGCGCAACGAAACCCTTTGCCAATCTCGAGCCGTGTGCTCTACTTCATCTCTTTCCAAGAGGCAGTTTGAGAAGCGCTGACAAGGGCTGTTGGCAAAGCCGATTGCGGGGGATTGGAGTGGGGGGGAGGGAGGGCGATTAGCACAGACTGGTTCAGCTCTACTTCCCAATCGTTGTCCATTGTGCGGTATTCACAGTGTCTTCGGTTTGGTCTTGGCCTGCAGGCGAAGAGCCTAATTTCTCGTGGAAGCTGACAGCAGGGTTTTGGAAGACTACTTCCTTCTGGGGACCCTGCACTTCTGTCATTGTTGCACAAAGGAAGTCTTCCAAAATTAAACCTATGTTTGCACTAGTGCCAAGAGAAAGTCACGAACGAGCGTTGGCACATCGGTAGGTGCGAGCGCCCTTAGAGCATGCCTTGTCGTCCTCAGCGATTTGGCGCTTTCCCACCACCTGAGTCATCGTTCAAACAAACCTGGGATATAAATGCGAAGTAGCCTTCTAGCAATGTGACATGAGTTAAACCATTCCAAACCTCGCAAGAGCAAATACACACATGTAGCAGCATGATGTGCGCTCCCGCTGAACTTGGAATTGGATCTTTTGGGGTTCCATCTAATCGATCCAATGGAGTATGGTAAGATCACCACAGGCTGGTGTGGGTAGGGGCTGGTTGGGGTGGGCAGGGGCTGGCTGGGGTGGGTAGGTGCTGGTTGGGGACCAATTAGTGTACGCAGTCGCTGGGAAGCTGGTTCCCGCTTTCACAGAAGAGGTTGTGACTCCCACAAGCTGTCACCATTGCGTTGCCTGGAAAAGAAGCGGACCACCAAAGTGTGTTCAACTTCTGTTTAAGTGGGTCCGAACTTGTTTCCCCCAAAAAAGGGCGCAAGGTAAGCCTTGTTTGTAAGATTCCTCGTGGTTCTTCCACGAATTCCATCCCGCCGTAAGATGAGCGCCGGCTGAGCTTGCCAGAAAATAATAGGCAGGTGAGTGTAAGCCGTGGTTGCATGAGTATGTAACCCCCAAACTTGGTTGACGTTGGAAGGGGAGCAAAATTATATTTAGCAGTTAAGTTGGATTTTCCCACTAAACCACAATAAAGAAAAATGTAAAATGTTTCCCAACAACGACCATGCAAAATGAATGGTTTTGGGTCCGAAGTGAGAGGGGGAAAGGCTACCCTCTGGGCAAGTTTCTCTGCGCATGTCTGCGAAAATCTCTGCGCAAAAATGCTCTGTGCAAGTTGCTCTGAGCGAGTGCTCTGCGCAAGTTACTCTGCGCAAGTTTCCTTCCCAATGCAAGTTGCTCTGTGCCGCTAGCTCAGCGCACATTACTCTACGCAAGTTACTCAGCGCAAGTGCCTGTGGTCAAGCGTATTTGCGCGGAGCTCTTGCGCGCAAGTCTGCGCATCGCTCCCAGCGAGTGCTCTGTGTAACGAGCAAAAGCTGCGCAACGCGCTTCGCGTGCATAAAAAGTTGCGGCGTTTCCACGGGCCCAGGTAAATCGATCGAACCCGTCAGCGCGCGGTTACAAGTTCGCAGTCTTTCAGACCACGCGGACTGCCAAGGACCAGGGCGCAAGCAGCCGACCGTGAAAAGCCTGCCCGCTAGAAACTTAACCTAGCTCTCCACCCAAGAACTCAGCCGGCACCTGTAGTCCAGGCTCTTTACGCAGACTCTTCACGCCCACACTATGCACACGCTACTCATGCCCATCGCGCCCAGAATATTCCCAGACAACCCGCCTATGCGTCTGTGCAAGTTGCTCTGCGCTGTGCGGATTGCACTGCGCACAAAGCTCCGTGCAAGCTATAACTCTGTGCAAATGGCTCTCGGCAAGTTGCTCTGCGCAAGTTGGCCAGCGCAAGTAACTCTATGCAAGTGGCTCTGCACAGATGTCTCTGTGCATGTTGCTCTCTGAGAAGCCGTCCACGGAAGAACCCTTCGCGATGCTTTTGGGAAAACTGATAGGCGACTGACACAAAGGAACCTAGTTCAAATTCAGCTCACAATGTTGCCAGTTTTCGGCAGGCCACGATGAGGGAGGCGAGGGCCGAGAAGCCGGCAGTGATTTGTACCACGATGCCCCCTGCAAAGTCCCAGACGCCCCACTGGGCCAACCATCCGCCGCCCCAGACCCAGTGGCAGCAAGGCGCATAGACCACCACCTTAGACGCTGCGTTCCCGGGTTGAAAGGGAGTCAACAGGGTAAGCAAAGTCTGTGTAGGGAGTAGTGGTTTGTTTTGGTGGGAACAATCATGACCTATGCCGGGGCCGACCAATGACCAGCTTTTCCCTTCGCCCCCGTAAAAGAAGCAAGAACGCTGCTAGTCACCTACATACGGCGCAGTCCGGTTTTTGGAAGGCACTTGCTTGTGGTAGGTGTTTCCTAAACGTGATGCGGGCCGCGCGCAAATGCTCTGCAAAACGCATTTCACATGGCCGTGCCGGGGACTCAGACCCCCTCCGAGTTCATAGGAGATGCCAAAACGCAATTCTAGAAGGCTTCCCCCGCTTCTCACTCTGTTTGCAACCACCAAGGGTCATCGCGCCACTCTAAACACTCCGCTCTCCCCTTCCCGTTTGTGGCCACCACAAGCATTACCGCAGGACCATGAACGACAAATTTTGTAGTCTTCTGCTTTTCTAAACAGAAACACCTCCTTAAGCCAAGCATGTGTGCAGAGGAGGGGCAAGCCAAAGCGCGATGAAGATGAGGTAGGGCTTGAAGTGAAAGCGGTCCGCAAAGGCACCCGTCATCAGGGCCGGAGTGACCACTGCATACATGCCTTGAAATCCTGGCGCTTGGTTCGACTGTGAACAGTGATCCTGGCAGAATGTGGGGCTGTTGTTGCTGTCCCTAGTTTAACTTGACGAACGGCTGGGAGACCTGGGTGGGGATAGGGATCAACATCGAGTCAAATCGGATAAGGAAACAGGCTAAGAAAACAAGCGTGGCCTAGCGCGTTTCAACTTTCGCAGCAAGTGTCGCAATTAGGGCAAAGTTGGAGTTCACTGCGAGAACTGCAGCGAGAAAAGGCGAGAAAAGTCCTTCTTTTTTCCGTTCAGTATAGCACAAACAGTTTTTGAGTGGCGACGTGTTCAAAAGTGTCGCCCACCCGGTGGTTGGACTGGCCGCTGCCCAAATCCGGAGTTTCGACGAACACCGGTTTCGGGCCTGCAAAGAGCAAGCCTGGAATGGTCTGCCCGGGCAGGGCCTCGTGCATATTGAGGTTCCGCAACCCCGCGAAGGTCCTCACTTCAGCTGTCTCGTACTCAAGACCATGTGCAGGACTGGTTCAACCAACTGGGTGCGTCTCAGCAGAGGGGGCACCAACGAATGGCCCCGATCAAGACGCACCCAATTGGACTCCTAGGATTGAACGCATCTGTCTGTTGCCCAATGTTCAGTGTGTACTCAAATTTGAACTATGTCAAATGCGCATTGTAGCTGCGCTCAATGTCAATTGGCACCTTACAACACGAATTGGAAGGACTTCTGCGAATTGATTACGTCCTAAGTGGCGAGTTTGAGGCTTGTGCCTGGCAGAAGCTCAGGGGCCATTGGAACAAGGCCCCTGGGACACTCAAGGGTTCTTGGCAACGGGAACGGGGCCGCATGAACTTTGTGGTTTGTTGACCCCTTGCTACAAGTTGATGTTCTGGTGGGACGTCCCAGAAACCCTTTAAACGCAAAAAAGATGTCCCAGAGGAGCCAGTCAACACCACGCAGGTTAAGACAACACCAACCACGGTGGGAATGGACAACCCTGTTTCTCCTCACTTGAGTGCTACATTTGTGAAATCGAATGGAGTTTGCGACGTCTTGAACAGCTCCAACCGCAAACCAGTTCGAAACACACATGCGCGCCGACAGTGACCGCAAGGATGGGCCAACAACGAACACATTTTCTTGCCAACAATGAACACGCTTCTGAGCCAACCGTGAACAGTTTGGCGCGCCGTCAGTGAACAGGTTTGTGCGCCAACAATGAACACACTTTTGCGCCGACCGTGAACACTTCCGTGCGCCAAAAAATGATCACTCTTGTGTGCCAGCAATGAACATTCTTGCGCGCCGACAAGGAACACACTTGTGCGCCAACAAAGAACATTTCTGTGCGCCGACAATGAACACGCTTGTGCGCTAACCGAGAACAGTTTGGCGCGCCGTCAGTGATCAGGCTTGTGCGCCAACGATACACACTTTTGTGCGCCGCCAGTGAACATGCTTATGCACCAACAATAAACTCTTCTGTGCGCCGACTGTGAACACGCTTTGCGCGAACTGTGAACACTTTTGGGCGACGAAGGTCACACACACACACACACTTATGCACCAACCACGACCACTTTTGCGAGCCGTCAGAGAACAGGGTCGTGCGCCAACAGATCAGCGGATGCCGGTGTTCATCCTTTGAAGCCATAAGCATGTCATGCTATTCAAAGCGGCAACCCTTTGGTAGAAGCAGTTTTGCATGGGGATTCATGTCCGCCAACCATGTTGAAGGATGCTCCAACTGTTAAGCACCATAGCCATATCCAGGCTCAACGGGAAGCAGCCCGATCAATCCACGGACGCATGTGCCAAACAGCGTGTCCCGGGGTTGCCGATGACGGTGAGGCTGTCGCCGAAGCAGAGGGAGAAGCCGAAGAAGAACCAAATCATGCCGGCGACGCCCATGGAAACAAAGCTCTTCATCATCATGGAAAGCACGCTGGTGTCCTCACACACGGCAAAAACGCAACACCGGGTCAAACACGGTCGAAACTAGAAATGCAGCGTCAAAGGAGTGCCCGAACCTGTAAGTGTGATTTCAGAGTAGGTGTCTGGCTCTTCACATGTCCTCCCTGCCCAATCCGAAAGCAGAACATTGCGACTGGACATGTTGAAAGATGATGGCAACGAGAAGAGCTGATAATACAATTGTGGGGCTAACTCTGACCACTAACCATAGATCTAGGAAACGGTTTGGATGCGGTTCTTGTGGATCCACCTCTGTAAGATAGCCAAATAGTACTAAAGAGTAGTGAAAAAGACACAACTGGCAAAACAACATGGGGAAGCCACAGAAAGCGCATCCAATCCGTTTGCTGGAATAGATCATAACCATTCTACCCAACCCCCATTTGGTCTTGCGAACAGGCGTGGGCGGCTGAGCGACTGGGAACTTGTCGCCCCATCACTCAGTGCCCAATGGAAAACGCTCAGCCCTTGGCTCAAGCTGTGGAACCCAGAAATTGAATGAAGAAGTTTCTCTGGGGCTACATGAAGATTTGCATGTCGCTTCTAATGATCCTGGCTTGACTTGGTCTTAACATACCCAGCCCCTCGAATCGTTCAGGCCGCTTTAAAACCTTCCCTATAGCCCTCTAGCACATCACCCCTGCCAAGGGTAGCTCGATTTCTTTCGGACAAAAACGGTGCTTAAAACTACCGAAAAGGGACACCGTTCAGAAGAGCACCACGCGCTCGCTCTGCTCACCGATGATCCCTCTGCTTGGTTGGAAATCAGGAACCCTCCCAACCGCACATGACTGGGAATGGCTCCTTGTGAACTCTTTGACAAACGATATGCACCTGTATATACCTGGAGGCCCAAGTTGATACACAAACAGCGGCCGAACCCTTCTGGCCAAACAAACAAAAAACGACACGTTGTTTGGGGAGCGAAGGATCAACTTCGTTGGATTCTCAAAAAACGACGCGCCCAAAAGGCGACCGGCTCCGCAAATCGAAGCACCGCCTTGACCAGTCCCGCATAGAAGAAGGCGAGGCCCGGCGTCATCAGCTGGACCAAGGCCATGCACACCTGTGCAACTAAGCGGAATGGTTGAATGAGGGGAATCAAAAGGACACACAACAGGCCGGGGGGGGCGTGTCAAGATTAGATTTGCCTGTAATCGCTTTCCCCAAGATAACAGGCACAAGGCGACACAAGTGTCCAAAAACGGGACAACATGTTATTTTGACAACTCCTCATGGGCCCCACGTCAACTTGTTCTTTACCCGAGAACACTTTTCGGTGTTGTGAAGGGAAACCAAAGGAACCCACGATTTTTGGGACCCTCTATTCTGACACACATCCAGCCTTCCTCCAAACATAGCACCTGGAGGTACCCAGCTGAAAAAAACACTGTCTCAAACGGCTCTGCCATGTTAGTGGGAGAGGGAAGCTACCGCTAAGATGGCCTTCCCAACGGGTGAGGTAGCCCTCTTATTAACCTGTGCACAAAGCAAATGTCCTAAAAGGAGATCTCTGACAAGAGCAGCGCCCGAAACACATTGACTGTTGGCCGTACCAACATGCTCAAAGGTTTATAGCCCTCCTTATAACCCTAATTCAACTGGAAGTAGAAACTCCTAATATGGCCTTGGGGGGGGGAGGTTGGGCGCAACTCACGTGAGCCGCCGCTCATGTGCCCAAACTGGAATATGTCTCAAAGCATACGGTTTTAAAGATTTGCCATCGTTTTTGGCTGGGTTTTCGCCCTAGTCCACCCCATATGCCTTGTACCAACCCTTCGAGTGGCAGCTCACATGAGTCATAATCAAAACCCGGTATTAACATGGTCTACCCAGAACCATGTAAATAATTAAGAAGGCGACCACAGCTATTTATGGTTGGGATTATCCCTTACTAGCCTTCATCTACTTGGGTTTTGGTTGCGGCTCACATGGCTTCAAGTTCAAAGAAGCTAGAAGCCCAGGCGCCATCATGAAGGTGGTGCTCATCAGGTCGATCGCCATGGCCTTTGCCGCGCGCGTCGATCAGTCGATACCTTTGGAGCCCCGGTTTGAAGCAAACTGACGTGGGTCTGGGCACCCTTTTGGGTGGTTCGAAAAGGAAACTCAAGTTTGGGGGTCCCATTTAAGGGTGCCCTAATTTGCGACATATGGCCAAGCCGAAAGAAAGTGATCCCAAGGAAAAAGGTATGAACGGCACGCCAAGAAACCGATCATTCAAGGAGGGCCCCCTCATCAGTTGACCACCCCAGGTGTTTCGCCGCGGGCAGCAAGCAGTTCCGTGGTTGTCTGCCATGAAAAGAAACTGATCCAACTCTTTTTGGATGGTGTTCCCTTGGTTACCTGCCATTTAGAAAATAATAAAGACATCCCTTTCTGGATGGTTCCAACGGCAACAAAAATAAAACACGGTTCCTAAGGGACACAAAAAGACACCACTGAACAAGTGCTCCTTGTCGGCGTCCCGCGGGATAGCTTCTTCCCGCAAATTGAAGGACTAAAGGCTCCCTGAAATGGACACCCCGACACAAAACAGTTGACCATGCCATGGCATTCAACGCTTGCTCTGAAGCTTGCAGCAGATTCAGCCGCAGTGAGCGCCATGTCGTAAGAAAACAGACCAAGCGCCAGCTCAGCTGGCTCCCTGGTAGCCTCCCAAGGTGTCTTGGATCCGTGGAGTCTATCTTTTCGAGGTAACCAGACCCCTCCCGTGAAGAGAGCAGAGCACCTGCGTGAGCAGAGGATATCTTGGAAAGCCGGGACCCCATTGCCCCGTGATCCATGAGAAATGATTCCCGCCATGAATTCTCAGGCTCCAAAATGCTGGTCTCGGCACGGTTCCCTTTCATACTTGTGCCTGAAGGGACCAACTTGTTTCAATACACATCGGCGAATGGAAGAACATCAATCCTGGTGTGCCTTAGGCAAATATCCTCCCACCAAAAATATCCTGCCACCAACTAACAACCCACCAGAAGGCATCCGTGAGATGAACGATTATCTTCCAGGACCTCCAGTCAGGTTTCATGTTACTTAGTAAATCCAAAATAGGCAAAGGGCCCGCATATTGAGCTCGTTGTAGCCCCGACCATGAAGCAGATTGAGCGCCATCAAACTCCCGGTTTGCACATCTCAGGCGCTGGCCCGTTTCAACGCAAACGGAACTCGGCGGAAAGGAAAAACGGCTACGGCAAAACGGAGGTTCTCAGGCAAAAAGACTGGTGGGTATCTCAAAGATCAGGGGACCCCCAAAATTGTGGTTTGCTTTTCGGTTTAACGATGGACCTCTTTGGGGATCCCTTGAGACCGCACCCCCTATTGTTGACAAGGCCACGCCTGGAGTGTGCAAGATGCCAAGAAATGGAACTCATCATGCCGAACTTGTGGGTAAATTACAACTGTAGGGTCTTAAAGCCTGCGGTAACATACTCTTATCGCATCCTGAATGGAAAACTGCCAACGCAGGAGCAGTCCGTTTCCTCGAGCAACAAGACGTATGTGGAGCCCAGAAACCGGCGGGAAGTGAGAAAGAAGACGTGTCCAATCAATGATCCTTTTATCGTTAGGCAAAAGCATGCTGATGCCCTTGGATGCCTGGACACTATCTGTTCATTGCAAAACTAGCCCGGAGATCTTCGACAACCGCCAATTCTTCTCAGGGTCTTGGTCTGACGGCTTTTGCTGAGGTTGAGCTTGACTTTGCAAAGCTTAGTCTACACAAACCCAAATGGAATGCTTCTGAAGCTACAGAGTTCAGCCCCTTTTGTGGATGGCGCGGAACTTAGAACATGTCAAGACAAGACTTGGAGGGGAGAATACGTAGGTCTGGTGTGGGCTGGTCAAAGGCACTTCAGAGCGTGTCCCTCTCAAATGCTGGCTGCTCCTTTCAGTGAGAACAGCTGCCTTAGAAATGGCCGAAAAAGGGCGGCATCTACTGAACACCATGGGTTGTCATTCAAGAAACAAGCGCTGTCATGCGTGAAATTTGGATGCAAACACAGCCCCTGGAATTTGGAAGGCAGCCAGCCCAGGGTTCCCCAGTTCGCCCAAAAAACCGCGGTAAAGGGAACTGGTTCCAGGGTTGACCAATTTCTAGAAATTCCGAACTCGACATCTTGGGGCGCGCCTGAAAATCACACTGGGGATCCCACCAAAAGAAATAAACTGGGTACTGCGGAAGTTTGTGGATGATTCGCTGCCTATTCATGTTCCTTTTCGCACAACTCTAGGGGTTGATTCCACATTCTGTTCAACCATTGTTATTTTCAAAAACCTGCTATTTTCCCTGGGTTTCCGGAGGTTTTCTAGAAAGAAGGATCCCTGGAAAGAATGGAGAAGGTACCCCTAGAAGATGTGATGGTGCTGGGATTTTGGTCGAACTCTAAAAACATGCCGTCCCTTCCGGCTCCTGCAGTGCTGCGTGTAGCAGCCGCAACACGCAGCGCGCGTAGCAAAGGAAGGCGTCCCAACTTAGCGCTTGGCCATCCTGGAAAAAACCACTGGCCATTTGGCCATGGGCTTTTCAAAAGCCAAATCGTACCCCCAGTGAACATCCCAAGCCAACCACGAAAATAAAATGGGTGGCGAATTCACCTACCAACCAAAACGGGATCCCATTGGTTTTGACCCAAAGCCATTTGCCCAAAGACCCTGGGCTGGATAAGGAGACCACTTTTTAGCTTCACCATTTCAAGTGGTTGGGCCCCTCACAACAGGTTCGCCTAGAGGACATGGTGTTTGTGGAAAATTTAGATCGTCCCCCCTCCGCATTAAAATGGGAGAAGGTGCCACTCCCAGGGCCTGGCGAACGCCTGGGTCCATCACCCGAGATAGGAATGTGTGCCTCTGCGAGAGAAGCTTGAATCTGGTGATGCGGGCTCACTACTCTATGGATCAAGGCTCATGAACTCTGGAGATCTCTCTTGGGCCTTTCCTGTAGCCAACACAGAACGACCAAACACAAGCACATGAAGAACAAACACGCACAAGACAAAAACAAAGACATGCAGACACACCACACACACACATACAGACAGACAAACAGTCACCAAAAGCAGCATAGCAGCATAGCGACATGCGCAGCAGACACACAAACACAACGGCACACGCAAAGAGAACACCCGGAGACACACAGAGAAACACAGACACAGAACAAAGACACACACAGATAGAGACACAGAGATTGGCGATGCGTCCAAAGAAGGCAACCAATAAGTGCTGGGGTTCGCCTACTTTGGGATACAATGAAAGCCAACTTCTGATGAATCCAACTTAAATCAAGGAATCCCACCACAATGGACAAGTTGCATAGCTGGTTCTCCTGTCCAAATTTGAGACATCCCCCCCAATTCCAATTGTGTTGCCTTATGGGGGATTTGGAGCACAGTGCCAGGCCTGGAAGTTGTTGGGGGCAGGCTCCAGCATCTCCTCATGGCATCTGGAACCAAAAAAGAAACATGCGAATACTCGGTTGCTTTCTGCTCCCCTGCTAAAAGTTTACCTTTCAGTGGTTTAATGGAACCCCCATTAGCTGGCAAAACGTTAAAGTCCTAACATCCACGCAAAATGCACCAAAGAATCGATGCTTCTTCTGGATTACTAGCGGAATATGTCTGATGAATTGGGGAATAGGACTTCCACACAGCAGCAATACTGGCCATACGAGTTCAGCCTAACGTCATCCCGCCAGTGGCACGCAGAGTGGCAGCTTAAACCAGAAAACGACCCGATTTTTTCAGCTGAACGATGGCAAATTACCAACGGTGCATAGTAGTCCCTAAAGCCATGAACACAAAGCGGAAATCTTGCAGCAGCAGCCAGCATGATTCCCTTCGACAAACCGAATTGAACAAAAAAGGTTGCTTGAACATCTTGAACATGTGTGAACAAGGAGACAGGCAGGAAAGCAGGAACGCACATATACCACACATGACCAAGACGGGTGGCCCTACATGGCCCCTGCGAACTGCTCGATAATCCACATGTGGGGACCATAAATTTTGGAATGTGCAGAAACACAGCAGGAAACCAGCCCTTCAAAGGGATCACCCCGAATAGTTTATATAGGGGCCATGGGTATAAAATTCAGTTAGAAAACTGTTCACATGGGCAATTACGTCCAACCATGGTTGAGAACGTTGCTCATTCGAAAAGTGTTAGAAGACAAACAACCCCGCTCTTCTCGCTTTCAAACAACCACCACTTTTGAATTCGGAATCCAGCTAACATGGCAAAAGGGTCTGAACTGGGTTCAGACATGGCTGCATGCACTGAACTCATACTGCGGATGAACGAAATCCTGCACCACCTAAGAAACCCTGGAATGATGATTCCCCTGCAAATACCAACGGACAATGGTTGGTGTGGTTCAACTTGGTGCGAAACGGATTTCGTCCATCCACAGTAGCATTCGGTATGAGTCAAAATTAGACCACTAAAAGACCGTAGGCTTTAGTCCATGCTTCCATTTACAAGGGTTCCATTGTAGGTACCTATTTTTCACCCACAGCCACATGGCTACGTGCACTGAACTCGAGTGAGGTGCCAGCAGCTCGCTGAGGGCCTTCTCATCCTCCATGGCAGCACTGCTCACCACCTCCCGCGTTAGCTGCCTGAGCTGCTCCCGCGACACGCCTCAGAACTCAGAAGCCGCGAACCATCGCGAACCGACCCGAGGGCCCAGGCGGCCGAAGCCATGGACCTGACCAAACAAACATCGAGTGAGAATTTGGTTGTTGAGTGCCAACCCCTTGGCATGTTAACCCCTGGTGCCGAGTAGTCCCCGGCTTCCATCTTTTCTAGGGGTAGCTTCCATTTCCATTGTTTCCAGGGATCAGTTTTTTCTGGAAACCATCAAAAAACCAGGGAAACAGCTGGTTGTTTGAAAAGAAGGATGGTTGAAAATAATGGGGAATCAACCCTTACAAAAATGGGGTTTTGCAACTCAAATCGGCTCAAGAGACAAATCTCCACTCTTTGTCATCTGTGTCCATTGCACTCGGGGCGGGGGAACGAGGAAGGGGTAAAGTGGTTGGGGGGAGAGGGGGGGAAGGTGGGGATTGAAGATGGTCTCTAAATTCATTTGAGCTGAATAACTTCCCTGTTTTCCTTGAATATCTAACGTCGAGAAATCGATAGGGGGTTGTGCGCTGTTTGAGGGTACCCGTTTCAAGTTGGTTGAAAGGGAACACCGAAAGGACAACCGCCATTTTGGAACCTCCCCACATGGTTGAGTCCTTTTTTAGGGGACTCCCCCAAAATGCTGGTTTGCCTTTTGATTTCCCTTCAAAGCTACCAAAAACAGATACCCGCAACAAAAGCAAAAACAAAAAAACTACGTTGGCGGCTTTTCCTGTAGCTTCCCAGTGCGTGACGGAACCCGTGCTCGAAACGGACCCAGAACCGCGCCTCCCCCGCAGCGCTCGAAGAGGGAGCCGCAGAGCGCCTCCAGGGCCGCCGGGTCTGACAGGAGCTTCGAGACCTTCGACGCCCGAAATATCGGGGAGTTTCTCCATGGGTTCCGTGGGCTTTTCAGGTTTTCAGAGATTCCGTTGCATGCTCTTGTTCAGGGATTCCGTGGGTTTTCTGCGAGTTCTTCACGAATTCCGTGGATGTCTCATGGATTCCCGTATTTGTTTCATGGATTCCGTGGCTTTTTCCTGGATTCTGTGCGGTTTTTCCAAGGATTCCGTAAGGCTTTTCCATGGATTTCCAACAAACACGAGCCCATGCTCGTGTTTCGATTTTTTGCTGAGACTTACTGTCTGGGCTGCTAAGTCCCAGTTTCTGGCCCCTTCCATCCAAAGGTAGGGATCGTTTGAAGGGGCCTCAGCATCATCGCTAGAGAGGTTCGAACAGGGGTAGCCTCTTTTCTCTGTTGTCTATCTTAGTGGGGAACCCTCCCCAAAAAAAGAAACGGTCAAAGGGCACCACTGGGGCACCTTGTGTGACTGGGCCCAAAGCGTGATGTCCTGTCACGCTTCATGAAACACATCCACAACGTTGGATCCTCATCGGGCGCTTGCTTGTGCTCCTGTTTCGGCCGGTTCTGGGCTCCCTATATCTCCGCGAACACATAAACAACTCACTTGTGGGCCAAAAGAATGATGTGTCAAACACCACCAACGGAAACATAGAGACTGCTGCACCATGTCTGAGTGATCCTTTCAGAAGGATGCCCTCGGTTTGACCCCTCAGTCTCATCGTTTCCCCAAGCGAAAACGATCCATGGCGTTCCTTTCAATCCAGATTCTGGCTGCTCAATGGGAACCCACACACCCCAAAAAAGTGATCCTGATGACATGCACCTAATGCCCATGTGCAGGAATCTCATTGGTGTGGGGCCCTTTGTTGGGTGCATATCTTCTTACAGAACAGCCATGAAAACAAATGCTAGTTTGTCAAATTATCAACAGGGGTCCTACTGCCAGCTCCCATGATTGAAATTTGCAGATAGACCATGTTCATCGTATATTGTCGTTGTTCTTCTTTTGACAATTCAATTCAAAAGCGCTTGAGTTAGATGAGAATCAACTATCTGTTGTGCATAAGTATGTTCAAACTTCTTAGACAAATGAGATGTAAAGACTTCATCTCGTATAGGACGGTTTGCAGTTTTTACGTCTGCTTTACTTAATTTGACTATCTTTAGTAATGGAATGACATTAGCTAAGTAGTTGAGTTCCAAATTATATGTTCATACAAAGATGGATCATCCCTCTTTCAACTGGATGGCTGCCTCTTGCAGTGAATTACTGCTTCTAGGTAACCTTCAAGTTGAGGAATTCATTTCTTGCTGACTCGAATGAGGGAATAGACCCAGAATTCCCCTTAAAGGAAACCACCAGTTGGATGGTTTATAAGGGTTGTTCCATTTCTCAGGGCCCCTGCCTATCGCACCGATCGCAAGAATTCTGAATTCGCTTCCTGACATTGTGAGCCCTTCGACCGCGCCGGCCTTCCGCTGCACCAGCAACCTCCGTGGGCTGGTCGCATCCAGCGGCACATCGTACGAGGCAGCCGCCCCCATCGCGAAGCGAAGCTCAGTGAGGTGCCAAGGACGGGAGCCACCGGTCGCCAAACCAACACGCCGGGACCCAAATGGAAGGCCTTTGCGAGGCTGACATCTTTGTCAGGACTTGTTTGAGCAGAGATGCTCCCCACTGTTCAGTATGGGCCTGGCTCACTCACGGGGAGCCACTGTTTTGGATGATCTTAAAGGGGCATCAACAGGAAGCCAACCACGTAGAGCGGTCCTCATGTATGAGAAACACATGCGCAACATAGGCAATTGTGTCATGTGTGCTGATTGCTGGATTCTGTACGGATTGCGATGCCACTATGTTGGGAACGCAACGAGTGACTTTGCTGAGACGAGACGTCCGCACTAAAATGATATGTTGCAAATGTCTTAGCATGCCTTAGCCTTGCTTTCCCTTGCCTGTCTTGGCCTAGCTGCTTGCAGTGCTTTCCCATGCACTACAGCGTGAAACTTAAACGGTCGCGAAGCGAACTGATTGCCAGGCCTCGGCGAAGACCCGCAGTGCCAAACAACATCATCCAAATGGAAACCATTCAGGCGGTGGTGCTTGCTCCTTTGAAGCGGTTGATAACCATCACTGCAAGCCCCCCCAAAAAAACAAAAAAAGTTTCAACCTCAGCACACAGAACTTACCAGGTAGGCAGCTGCTACTGAAAACAAAAAGCACGCAGCGGAGAAGCGGAGAGCTCAAGGACGATGGGCATGTCCCAACACGCGCATATCTTGGCTGGGCCACAAGGCAAAGGAACTCAGAAGCCAAGAACCAACAGGATACTGGTTCGTGTCTGCCCGCAAGCCCGAGAAGCCAACAGAACCGTTTTGGGCCTGGACAGCTCCTAGGTCCTCCAGTAGAGAGGTTCGAATAAGGGTACCAACTTTTTCCTGTAGTCTATTTTAGTAGGGGAACCCTCCCAACCAAAAACGAAACGGTAAAAGTTGGCACCTAGCTGGGGAACCTAGGCACTGTCATTTTCCTGCCGTTTGGCGAAATCGCCCGCTTTTTCAAGCCATTCGCGCCCAGCCGATCAGCTGAAGAGCTGGAAGAAGCAACGGCCAAGATCCCGGGGCTGCCGCCTCAAACGGTGCCCTTCTGTTAGCCAGGTACTGGTTTCACATCTGAACCATGGACCTGTCTTGTTGTGAGGGTACCCGTGTTTGGTCGGTTTTAAAGGAAAGCTAAAAGGAAAACCACAATTTTGGAGGGTCTTCCTGAAAAAACACATATAGAAACAAACCACATTTATTGCAGAAGGTTCCACGTACATGATATATACCACGCTTACCCAAACTTATCATGAACCAACCGAACAGCCACTCAAGACCCATTGACATGGGCTACTCGCTTCCGTTCCGAGCGGCAGTTGCAGGGCGCAAATGTCCACGACCTGGTCCCGCAGCTGCAACTTGTCCAGCACCTGACAATCAAAACCCTGCGAAATAAACCCTCTGGTGGGAATTCTTGTCCACTTCTGAGAGAGTTCCAACCCGGAAAATTCATGTCCGTGCAATCCCAGAGCAAAAGACTTAAAGATTGCAACAGTAGATGGCATAGTCCTCTTCAAGTCATAGGAAACTAAGTAAAGGGGGTGACTCAACCCAAAAATGGGGAATTGTGCCATCTACTTTCACCCAACTGCAAAGTGGTCTGCCCAAAACGCATGGCTACCCTGCACTTGCACAGGCTCTTGATCAGGTACGCCGAAAACAGGCCGCAGTCTGTTTGGACGAATGATCCTCTCTACCTTATCAAGGGGGTAGGGTTCATGTCTCCACTTCCATCTATCCAATCCTCACAAAGGAAACCCTCTTGCAACCTGTGACCCAAGAGCTAGAAAAGGACACCTTCTTTTTTTTTATCAGCTCGTGTGAGTTGCAACTGGCAAAGTGAAAAAGCACCAACATAGGGACACCCATGAATGGCATGGCTGGTGACTGCTGGCCGTCATCCTCCCATGTTCTACGTGAGACTCAGGTCTGTGCCTGCAAAGTGCCCTCCGCGTGTGGCACCAGGCCGGGCGGTGGCAGAGCCTGAGGCATTGGCCCGGGGCCTCAACATCTGTGTTTGATGTGGCCGTGGATCAAAACCAATGGGATCCCATTTTGGGGTAGGTGCATTCACCACCCATTTTAGTCGATCTTAGTGGGGGATTGAAAGTTGCGTTCGAGGGATTCGTTCGGAGCCCGGAGTCCTTGTTTGCACATGGGAGAACAAGAGGCAAAAAGCCCAAGCCCAGTCCAAGCGACAGAAGCCAGCCAGACCGTGCGACCGAGCCAACTGACGGACTGACCGACCCGGGAATAAAATCAATCAACCAATCAACCACTCAACCAAACAACTGATCCACCAGCCGGATGGCCATGGGTCAAAACCCCGTGAACATCCGGATCCCAGCTCCGGTCCCTAAGCTCGCCACTCGCTATCGCCTCAAACTTCGGGAAGACTAGGTCCAGATTTGAGAGCTTGGAATAAAGCTACCCGATATTTTGTCGGTTTTGTCTATTTTAGTAGGGGAACCCTCTCCCAAAAAAGGGGAGAGAAGGGCACTACTTGGGACCTAGCATCTCAATGGCATGCCCCTCTGTCGAGGCGAGTTCCGGGCTAAAGACGTCAAAGGGGCCTGACCCGGCCTGACCTATCCAGGCTGCAGCCCAAAGAACCGAACGCCGAGGCAGACTTTTCGGGCGTCAAGTCCCAAAACTGGTTCACACACCATGCTCAACTCGCTTTCCCCTGAATGCCATACTTCTCTGATGGTTTCGCACGAGATCGGAAAAAAAAGGAAAAAAGAGAGAAAAACAACTTCTCTCATAATTTCGCCAACAAAAAGAACAACAACATAAAGAAGGATACCCCCTTCCACACGGAGATACCAAGAGACTGCCCCAATTTAGCGCTTTTCAAAGGAGGACTTTCCCAAGCACCAATGAACAGCGTCCTGGGGCCCGCCAACTTCCCGCTTGCCTGCGGAAGGGCTGGAACCTGCGGCTGACCCGGAACCAGTGTGTCAGGTCACCAAGGCGTCAATTGACTCATCGTCCTCATGTTGGGAGCCTATTTAGCCTGGAAACAAGGTTGCCCCATTCTAGGGGAAGGCGGGAGGGTTGCATTGAATCCAAGGTCAACATTAACTCTGTTGCGAAATCTGCTCCCCTGCGAAAAGTGACTAACTTTTAGTGGTTCAATACGGAAAACCCATTAGTTGGAAAAAACAGTCCTAACATCCCTTGGCAACATGCACCAAAGTTAACATTGCTCTTTACTGAAAACAAAACGGCCTTCGGAGACTTGGACTCATAGCTATGGAAATGTTGGCAGTGACTTGACTTCGACTGAACCAGTATGCTCATAGACTAGGGGGGCGTTGGATACAGGGGGCATAGTGTCCACTATGTTTAGAGGTCGGTCTCAACCAATGCAATTTCTCAATGCACTCCAGTCATAGCCCGAATAGCTCTTGCAACATGACGCAAGCAAACTGGTCTAGGAATCTGCCATGGCCCAACGCAGCACCAATGTGGGCACTACCCGCACCATCGTCACCATCGTGGATTCCAGAAGAGGAACACATGTGTTGTGTTCCAACCGTGCAATAGTGTATCCCCTTACACATTCAGCTCTTCCTCAACCTCGCGAAGCAACATGAAACACGCACAGTTCTCAAATATGTCAGTGGCAGCTCCAAGCTACATCAATCACACGGATATTTTACAAACCTCACAATAAGTCATTGTCAATCACACGGAGACTTTGCCAAGAACTGTCAATGCGTCAACATGTTCCTTTTGCGTTGCCATGATCCAAAGGAGGTCAAACTGAAAATCAAAAGGGACCTCCGACGAAAAACATACCAAGGAGGGCCCAACATCGGCGCAGGCCGAAGTTGGCTCAGGCGAGTTGTTTGAACAACAATTGTTGTACTAAACAACCTCAACAATTTGGACGATGACTTGTCCGCTCGTGTTTAAACTGCGGGCGAAGTTTGAACTAAGTTGATTGACCATCGCTTGCTTGAAGCAAGCAAATGGCCATGGGTCATAACCTATGCCGATCCCATGTTGGGGCGTGTTCTGAACACCCATGTACCGTTTTTTGATGTTCACCCTGGGGTTCTCTAAGTTTTGACTCCCACAGCCTCTCCAAATCTGAGGGCTTCGCCCCGGTGGCTTCACCTCCGGTCAGCACGGCGCGCCTGAGTTTCCACCTCCTGACTCATGGGGTCCAGCTGCGTCTCCTCCACCTGGCAGGGTCCCGGACGCTTTTTCCGGGTCGGGTTTCTGAAGTGGTCCAGTTGGGCAGAGAAAGGGCGTCCAAAAACTTCATGGGTGGGTCAAAATTAAACCACCACAAATCCGCTGGTGTTCCATGTTTTCACTTGCGGATCCAATTGGGCACCTATTCTTGACCCACAGCCATGTGGCGAAGGGAAGCAACCATAAACCAAGCCATTGTGGGGCTTGGCCAGTCCAAAACCCTCCCCAGAGAGTGCGGCCTCTCTGATAACCGCATGCGGGCCCTGCATCGCAAGCTTGTGAGCTGAATAGGGCTCTTTGCCTGCAATAGCCCCTTCCATTTGGTTAACACCCCTGGGAAAAATAAAAAAAATATGTCCAGTAGTGATAGATTCCCTTTAAAACCAACAGGGGGAAATAACAAAATATTTGTAGGCAAATGGAAGGCCACAAGTTCCAGTCCTCGTGTTTTCTGTTTTCCTGCCTCGCATGTTTGCAGGCGCCCAACACCCGAGGCACAAAACGAGTCGGCCAGCTTTCCCGTGTTTGCAGCTACCACGCGTGAACAAGCAGTAACAAACATGGCTAGGAACACTGGTAAGAATAAACTTGGAACCACAGACTCCACGTAGCAAGAGGCCAGTCCAGTGTTGTTTGATTGGCAGAACAAAAAGCACCGATTCAAAGTGACCCTCAAAGCCTGGGGCCATGACCGTTGCATGGTTACACAATCTTCTTGCTCAGGGGATGAGGGGGCC